AACACTACTAGTATATAGGAATAGCCTAAAGGACTTGCTAAACTAGGACGCCTTCTTTAATAAAATCGATCGAGTAACGATCTGCGTAATCGTAGCGATACGCTTCTTCTAGCGGCCAAATTTGTCTCGGATACTAGGTTAATCTTCCTTAGCGATATCTTTAGCGGTATAGCGCTTATTAGGAAGCAAACCCTATAGGACACTATACTAAGTTAGCGCTATATCTTTAATAACTTTGTCTATCTTACTTAGCTTCTCTTATCTATCGATAGTAGAGTCCGGATCGTACTAGTTAAAGAATTTCTTGCTAACGAGCCTCTTTAACTTAGAACAGAGCCTACGAGTACTTACGAGACCCTCGAATAAGAAGACATCGATAATCTTATCGATACGACGGCGCTATATCTTTATTCCTAGATCTCCTACCTATATTAAGAGCAGCTTTAGCGTAGTAAGGTACTCGTAGTTTAGCAGGTCTATAATATTAGTATACTTCTGCGGTAGAGTCTTTAGACTCTTACGCTTCTTCTTCTTCTTCTTAGCTGCTAAACTAGCTAGAAACTAGCGCTTCCGAGCGGTACTAGGGCGAGTAGTACCGACAATCTAAGGCTCGACATTATTATTATTATCTAAGAAGTCTCCTTTATCTTCTAGTCGAAAGAACTAGCTACCTTTAGCACTAGCGGCTTTAGCTTCGACCTTATTATCGCTTATCTTATTATCCTAATCCTTAGTCTCGTAATTATCTTTATCTATTTCCTCCTCTTCTTCCTCGATAATAGGTAGCGCGACGTTAGCGCGTAGACCTATACGGCGCTCTTAGCGGGTTAGAACAACTAGAGCTAGCGCTATCGGAAGGCCGTATTCTGCTGCTATATCTTTAAGCTAGTCTAATAGCAACGCTAAAAGCTCGCTCGTCTAGTAAGGGCTATATTCTACGAGGCTATATTCTGCTACTATGTCTATAAGCTAGTCTAATAGTAGCGCTAAGCCGAGCTCGCTCGTATCGAATGTATTATATTGCTATAGTAGTATAGGCAAGCTAGAAGGCTCTATTAGTAGCGGCTTATCGTCTATATCGGCTATAATAGTATCGCTATCGTCCGATATTGTCGCTAGATTGAATGCTAGATTGTTGCGACTAGGTTAAATGCTAGGTTGAATGCTAGGTTAAATGCTAGGTTAAATACTAGGTTGAATGCTAGGTTAAATGCTAGGTTAAATACTAGGTTGAATGCTAGATTGTTGCGACTAGATTAATAGCGACAGCGTCGAAGGAACAGATTGCAATAGAAGCGACTAGTGCCCGCGAGCGGCGCGTCTAACCGTAGCAAACATATAAAGACGCACGGACTAGAAATATATATAAAGTCGATAAAGCTAAGTCTTAGCACGCAGCTTAGAGTAACCTCCGCTCTCTAGATATAATACAATACTATATTGTCGTATATATATATACTAAACGGGGATTATTATAAAATTAGCAGCGCTAGGGCCTCTAAGTGTTTATATATCGATTAGGCGATGTTTCAAAATAGGTGTTTTTAGTAAGACTAAGTCTGTTACTAAAGCCGGCTTTTAGCTAGGTAGTGCCCTCGGCTTATAGACTATAACACAACAACCTAACGTCGCATTAATATAATTTTTAGGTAGAATGAAATCCGATTGCCTGCTCTACGTCCTTATTATAAAATATTAATATATATCGCGTTATATATAATATCGCAAATTAGGGATCTTAGATCTAGCCCGATCGGTACTTTTGCTATTAGACCCTTGCTACGCAAGGGGTTTATAAATAAACCGGTAGCTCGTGCGCTCTTAGTAAGGGTCTAATAGGAGATAGCGTTTACCTCGCTCGAGGCCGAGCGTAAGGAAAGGGAAGCGCGTTAAGTACTAACCCCTAAGACACTAGTAGCTATTAAGAGGGTTTAAAAGATGCGAGAGATTTACGCTAAGATAGCTAACAAACTAGCAAGGGCCTAGGCCTACTAGAAGGCCTATTATAACAAACACTATATACTAATAACCTTTAAGCAAGGCGATATAGTTATACTTAGTATAAAGAACCTCCGCATCCGTAAACACCTATTACCTAATAGCAAAACACGCCCTAAACTAGCGCTACGGTTTATTAGCCTATTCTGCATCCGAGAACTAAAGGGCAATAGCTAGGCCTATTAGTTATAGCTCCTACTATACTATACTATCTATAATACCTTCTATATCTCCCTCCTTAAACTATACTACTACCGCGGAGGCCCTAAAGAAGCCCCTGCTAAATATAAAGAGATACTAGCCGACGGTAAAGAGCTATAGTCTATAGAACGTATCCTAAAGCATCGGACTAGACAAGGCAAGAAGGAGTACCTCCTAAGATAGTAAGGCTATTTACCTAAATAGGACTCGTAGGAGGCTAAAGATTCCTTTAAGGATATAGCTGAGTTATTAGATAAGTATTAGACTAGTGTAAAGAACAAGAAGAAGGCTAAGGGCCTATAATGTCGCCTAGGAACAATGCTACCCCCGGGGTGCTATTAGCTAACTAATTAGAGGCAAGCAATTGTTAGCAACGAAGGATAATAAGACTATACTACTATAGTAAACGCGCACCGAGTATTAATATACGCGCTATAACTGCTAATTAATCGCCTGCTCTTTTAAGGAATCTACCCCTTTACTAGTATACGTAATAAGAGCCTCCTCTTAGTATTTAGGTCCCCCTTTTGTTCCTTTATTCTATTAAGGCCTAAGGCCTAGGCGATCGGCGGGGATGGCGCGCGCGTACGAATAACGGTAATAAAGGTAATATTGTCGCGCTACGAGCTAGTAGTATACCGGTAGCCGGCGCGGCTATGTTAGTAACGGTATTACGGAGTTGTTATTAGTTAAAGAAGGAAATTAGAAGCAAGGTAAAGTTAGCGCTAAGACGGCTAGCGCCGCTATTGTTAATATTACTTACTATTGTTACTACGCCTACGGATACAATCTTACCTATACTACGAGCCTAAGGCACCTTTAATTAAAACTTTAATTAAAACTTTAAGGCTAAGTTAAAACTTTAAGCCGCCTAAAAGATTAAGCGACTAATAGACTAACTAAAGGCAAAACTATAGAGCTAAGCTAGCCGGGGTCGATCTTGCGGACAATAGGTTACTCCTCGATCTATCTAATCCTTTAAGCGAGGCGAACCTCTACTACTATACTTATAATAGCCTTTACTTATAGAAACTAGACGAGCTGTGTTTTTTAAAAAGATAAGATAAGATTAACACTTAAAGGCTGCTAAACCTAGCTAATTAGAGCTAGCGAAACTACAAACAATAAGAACAATAACCCTCGGAAGCGGACAAACCCTCGGAAGCGGACATTGCTAGGTTTTTTAAAAGTAGACGCAAAGAACTCGGTACGACATTACTTAGAATAGAGGCAGGGCTACAATACCTCGTACGTCTACCTATTATAGTAGGGAAGACGCGCTCGTATTATAATTAGTCAAAGGCCCTCAATTCTTATAGATATGTACTACTTTATAGGTTGTTATATATAAGGATAGCGTAGTTAGAGTTAGACATTATATTAGAGGTAAGGTTTGATATAGTTACATAATTAGGTAGTTAATTGTTTAATTTAGCGCGGCTAAGCAGCTTATTAGACTTGCTAAGTTAGCGGTAATAGAGGTCGTAGAACGTAGATAGGCTACGAGGGCGCGGCCTTTAGAAGGGAAGCGTATATTAGGGCTAAAGAGGCTATACGTAATTGGCATATAACTAGGCTAAGTAAAGCTAGGGTCTTAGTGCCTTAGGCAGGGCTTAGCGCTTAGTAATAGGCTAACTTGCCTGCCTTCCTCCCCCTCCTCCTAGCTCCTTATCGAATACTACTCGTACCTACTACTACCCTATCTACCTACTAATATACCCTTCTTATAGCTCTACGGACTCGCTAAATATCTTAAAGAATAGTATACTTTATAAAGCCGTAATAGCAAGCGACCTAGCTTCGAGTACGTACCTAAGTCTACTACTAAGATTAAAGATAGAGCAGCGCTATTACTCGCTAACCTATATACTCTTCGTAACTATAGCGGCCTATTTAGCAATAATATCGTATAGTACGCGGCAAAGAATATAAGTCCGCTATAATAGTAGTATAACCTTATAAGAGACGACTATCCGGAGCTCTTAGAACTATATATACTAGCACTATTAATCTATCTAACAACTAGCGCTACTAAGCGCAACTAGTTAGCTTATAGCTTTATCTATAACCTCCGCTATAACTGCCTTACTTACGAGTATATAGAGATATTAGTCTATTACTATTAAAATCTACGTATTAAGTATAAACTTAATACTAGTACTAAAAACAATAACGACGACTTCTACGATATACTATAAGACCTATTACGAGAGGCCTTTACTCCTATAATAGCTGCTATAGTATAGGCTTTATAAGATAACGTAGGGTTTAATACTATCTTATAAGAGCTATTATATTCTCTAGGACTAGACGATAATATATTAATTTAGTAAGTAGAAGAGTCGGCTATTCGAGAACTAGTACGAGGTACGTAGATCGAAGGAATCGAGAATATCTAATCCTATAGTATAGGTAGTAGTCGTATCTATATCTTTCCTTATTAGTATTTATACCCCTACGCTATACCTATTTAGTTATATAGCCCTATATATCTATAGGTGTACACTAGTATAATATACAGTGTACACAACCTCCATTTCACAGGGGCTGTAAACCCACAACACTAGTGTGCGATGACATTGATGGGGAGAGCTTGGGGGGTGCGATGCGATATCTTTTCGTTTCTCGTTGATGCCGCTAGTCGCGCCGTCCCCAACGCCTCGTTGAGCGGAAGGGAAGCCTGAAGGAGCACTCGACCCTGGCTCAATCATCGCCCCACCAAGAGCTTGCCTGTGCTGTGGAAGAATAAAAATCGCCAGTATCCGTCTCCGTGCACCGCTCTGTCCTGCTCGCATCCATTCCTCCCTTCCTCTTCTCTCTCGCGCACCTACACCTACACTACCACTGACATCTCCGACCCTGCTTGACGCCTGCTTGGTGTGATCCGCTTGTGACGAAACGCCGGCACCAACAGTCGACCCCACACTGTGAGTTCAGGCGCGAGTTTCAACTTTCGAGCCCGCCAATCTTTCCTCCATTGACATTCGTCACTGACCGCTTCTTCCTTACAGCTCAACACACTCTTTGCGATCACTCCAGCACCGCAAACATGGCATCCAAGATCAAGGACGCTCTGCCATCGCACTTGAAGCCGACCAACGGCAGTGCCGACAACGCAGATGGCCGTCACCACGGCAAGTCACAGTCCCACGTGGTAAGTTTATGCCTTTTCTTTGCTTTTCGCGCGCAACGGCAGCGGCAGCGGCAGCAGCAGTATCATTGCTGGAATTTGACCTACAAAAGACGGCGATAGCAGCAAGTGGCTGTCACTGTCCATCATGCCCGTCTCGCCGAGAGACCGAGACGGCGTCATCATTCACGGCGACAAATTGCGAGTGGTGCAAGAAGGTATCAGCTCGAAGTTGATAGTCTGCTCAGCCTTCATTCACACGCACACTCGCATGGGATTGAGTCTCGTAGATCCGTGAATGGCGATCCCTCAGCAATATGAATGCTTTCAATCAAACATCCAAATTCTGCTGCTGTCGAGACTCCTCCAGCAAAGACAACTTAGACCGCACCAAAAAGCAACCATGACTAGCAGTATTGCCCAAGAGATGCACGAAATGCTAACCCATGGCTCCGATCAGGCCTTCGAAAACACATCCACATCCGTTGCTGCATCTCAAATGCGCAATGCCCTCAATAACCTTGCCGATACCGTTAAGGACCCAAAGGAGAAGAAGCGATTCGAGACTGAGATGGACAACTTCTTCGCCCTCTTCCGCCGCTACTTGAATGACAAGGCCAAGGGCAACGAGATCGACTGGGCACGCATTGCTCCTCCAAAGCCAGAGCAAGTCGTTGATTACAACAGCCTCGGAAACTCGGAGTCTGTCGAGTTCCTGAACAAGCTTGCTGTGCTCAAGCTTAACGGTGGCCTCGGTACCTCCATGGGCTGTGTTGGTCCAAAGTCGGTCATCGAAGTCCGTGATGGCATGTCCTTCCTCGACTTGTCGGTCCGCCAGATCGAGTACCTTAACCGTACCTACGACGTCAACGTTCCATTCGTGCTGATGAACTCCTTCAACACCGACTCTGATACCGCCTCCATCATCAAGAAGTACGAGGGCCATAACATCGACATCATGACCTTCAACCAATCCCGCTACCCACGCATCTTGAAAGACTCCCTCCTTCCAGCCCCAAAGAACGCAGACTCGCCAATCTCGGACTGGTACCCACCAGGCCACGGCGATGTTTTCGAATCGCTCTACAACTCTGGCATCCTCGACAAGTTGCTCGACCGCGGCGTCGAGATCCTCTTCCTGTCAAACGCCGACAACTTGGGTGCAGTTGTTGACCTGAACATTCTGCAGCACATGGTGGAGACAAGAGCTGAGTACATCATGGAGTTGACCGACAAGACCAAGGCCGACGTCAAGGGTGGTACCATCATTGACTATGAGGGTCATGCTCGTCTGCTTGAAATCGCTCAGGTTCCAAAGCAGTACGTGAATGAGTTCAAGTCTATCAAGAAGTTCAAGTACTTCAACACCAACAACATCTGGATGAATCTCCGTGCTGTCAAGCGTGTTGTGGAGAACAACGAGCTTGCCATGGAGATTATTCCAAACGGCAAGAGCATCCCAGCCGACAAGAAGGGCGAGGCAGATGTGAGCATTATCCAGCTCGAGACTGCCGTCGGTGCTGCCATCAAGCACTTCCAGAACGCTCACGGTGTCAACGTGCCGCGTCGCCGCTTCTTGCCGGTCAAGACCTGCTCTGATCTGATGCTCGTCAAGTCGGATCTCTACACGCTGAAGCATGGTCAGCTCGTGATGGATCCAAACCGCTTCGGCCCAGCTCCTCTCATCAAGCTTGGCGGCGACTTCAAGAAGGTGTCCAACTTCCAGGGCCGCATTCCATCCATTCCAAAGATTCTTGAGCTCGATCACCTCACCATCACCGGTGCTGTCAACCTCGGCCGCGGTGTCATCCTCAAGGGAACTGTCATTATCGTGGCAACTGAGGGTCAGACCATCGACATCCCACCGGGTTCAGTGCTCGAGAACGTGGTGGTGCAGGGTAGCTTGAGACTGCTCGAGCACTAGAGAGGCCGGCCTACCATATGGTTTCGCGAAAGGCTTTATTGAGTTTTCAACTTCTGCACAGCTGTATCGGCGCTTGGGTGGTTTACAGATCTCTCGATTGTGAGAGGTGATAGATGTGGCATGGCCTTTGAGCAAAAAGAAAGCCGGTCTAGTCAGCAGGGCTGAAGGCCGCAGTGTACTAGTCTACAGCAGCGAACTTGCACCAGAGATGATGAACAATGAACGATGTTAATACAATACGCCGCCAGCGTGACTCACTGTAGTGCCGCATGTTCATGCCGAGTTTGATATGTACATGTAGTTTCCCGGGTTGCCTCATCGCCTGATGAGCTCAGCCTCCGCGTCAGTGACGTACATGAAGCTAGGGATCGTTGGCCTGTAGCTACCAAAGACAACATGACAGGCAGGCCGCGCGCAAGGCAGATGACTTCCTGACTGACCTGTCATACGAGCGCGGATGGGGACGGAGCGACATTGGTATATGTGCGAGCTTTCTGCTTGAATTCGTGCTACACGGCGGTAAACATCAACAACCTACTTTACGCACTCTCCCGCGCACACGCTCTGCTGCACCACCGTGCAGCTTGTTCGGCAAGGCTACCTTTTCTCGAGTGGCAGCCTGCTATCTTAATCACGTTTCGAGGCCAGCGTGAAGTCCGAAGCCCATGAGTCTCACGACTGTCGCGAGTTTCGTGGAGTTCCAATTGAGACGGTCACTTTTGGCTTGCCACGCGAACGGCTACCACTGGGTCACTGTTTCTCAACCAGAAACCAGCTAGGTCCAGATTTAGCGCCCAACTCGAGGACTCCAAGATGGCGACTACAGCGGGCCATGCGACTCCGCCACATGGAGAGGCGGCCCGACAAGAGGAGAGGGAGGAGGAAGCCAACGAGCATGAGGCGGATGTGGAACAGCGCGAGGCGTACGACTATTGGGGATATTTGTTCAAGCCGGACAAGACCGGTACTGATAAGTTGAAGAGCTTGTTGCGAGGTCTCAAAGATCTCATGGTGAGTTTTGATCGCTACTGCGCATCGGAGCAACGCTGACGAGTGTGGCAGAATGAGATGTATGAACCCTCAGACAATCCGGATCTCACTCCAAACCAGCTCGCACATTTCTACCGCGATCTTCACGGAAACTACGACCAGCTATTCCTGGGCACACCGAGCGAGAGTATTGCGTTCATCTATAAAAGCTTGGGATGTCTGCACAGCTTGCAGCCCTTACACCACACGCACCAGACAGCTTTTACGGATCCTACCGTGCCTGCCTTGAAGACAGAAGGATGGATCATGTGGCAGACTATCCAACTCTTGCTGGGTCCTGACGAGCATTCGAGCTTCTTACGCGAAGCAGTACGGAAGTGGGACGTCAAGGACCACGACACTGGAGAAGTATTCCCTAAAATTCTTCCACGCGAGTGCTTTCCTATCGAGCCTGATAAGCACATGGTTGCTTGGTACGAGGGCGTCTCAGAACGCTTGAGAAGGGAAGCGGAGGAAGAGGAGCGCATGAAGCGCATCGAGGTCGAGCATGACGACGATGCTCCTCCAAGGCGTCTCCATGAGCGCGCCCACCCGCCACCTCGCCGTGAAGATGGGAATGTCACTGATGAAGAAGGGTCTGTCGATTCTAGGGGACCTGCATTGGCTTATTTCCGCAATCCCTTATACAGACACGTAGATGGCCGGCCATCGATAGTTCGGCGCAGCTCGAAGCGACCGGCGCTGAGCCCTCGCTCAACCATGCTTGACAAGGGCAAAGAAGCTGCATCAACCTTTGGCCGCATTGCGCGCAGCGTCGGCAGTCCTCACCTTTGGGATGGTCACTCCAGAAGCCATTCTCGAGATCACGCCTCACGAAGAAAGAGCCATCCGGAGAACAGACACAGCCCCGATGAGGCTGCATCACCGGCTGTCGCTGGAGCATATGCCGATCGTCACCCTCACCCACCCAGAGAGCACTCGAGCCACAGTCATCATTCTAGTCAACATCGCAGACGACGAAGCTCGCAAGTTGACAGGCCTGATAGACCAGTTTCCAGCGGCTTCCCGGATGATGCTGATGATGAAGACACGAGTCAAGTTTACAGCCCACCATCAGGCTCGAACTCCAGCAGACATCGGCATCATCGTCCGACTGCAGACCCGCGTGATTCTGATCGAGACCAGACTCTACGCCATTCCCGAAGTCACGATCCCACACCAAGCCAGCGAGAAGGCGATGACTATTTTGGCGCGGGTTATGATGATCCAGGTCGCAGAAGGACTTCTGTTCACGAAAGACCAAATACGCCGCCTCCCACTCACAGCGGTGTCGGTCCTTCGTTCGCGCCCTCAGCTAGTCCGCTATTTGCATCGACTGTAGCGCAACACCCTGGCCCACCGCCGCCCGCCTTTCAGCAGAGGGCCCCGGTAGGCCCACCACCACCACCACCAAGTTCGCAGCCATACCAAGGCGGACCTCCACTTCACAACCCTTCACTCCGAAGAGCGCGCGATGAAGGACGATATTCCAGTCGAAGCCCAGAGCCAGGCATTGACCCCAGAGATAGAAGATACGGAAGTCCACGACCGCCGCCAGGTAGATACCAAGGCTCTTCTGCGCCTTTCGACGACGTGGCACCAGACCATCGTCCTCCATACCCTTCAGGCCCTCCAATGGGCCCAAGGCACGATGGACCGCCGCCACGGGATCCTCGAGAGACTCGCTATCCGCCAGACGCAGGCCCGCCGCCTCCAATGGACCCAAGAGATAGACCTGCTCATATGGATCCGAGAGACAGACCGCCGTCCGTTGACCCTAGGGACCAGCCACGATCAAGAGATCCGAGAGAGCGGCATCGCGAGCCACGCGACAGGAGACGAAGTGCGCGGATGAGCGGAAGCGAGTTTGAAGACTACTCTGGCGAGGAGCGCAGACATGGGCGTCCGAAGCAGACTCGTTTTGCAGATAGCGGCGTTAGTGGCAGAAGATATCCCGATGACTCTGTGAGTCCATGGCGTCGCGGCAGTCGTGGAAGCTAGGACATTCCGCCGCTTGTGAGACGTGTCACGGACAAGATTGGAGATGTGAGGGAGGATATCAAAGCCGAGTACAAAGATCAGCTGGAGAAGAGATTGGGCAAGTGATGAGTACACGAGATGATGAATTGCATGTTATCGGGCGATCAGAGCTGGGTTGCATCAGCAAAAGGACGCCATACCCAAATGAGGCTTCAGTCTAGTCTACGACGATATTCAGCATTGCTACCATACTCTAAGTAGCCTTACTTCAAGCACACAATCATATGAAGGGCCAAGGCAAGCTCCTAGGACGCTAAGGATTGTGCACCTTGATGGTTTCTGCAAGTGAACAAGACTTCAGCAGTCAACTCATATTTCTCACGAGCGCGGAAGGATTGCAGACTTCTGTAGAAGGAGGCGCACGCTGCACAGACGTGATGGCTCCCTTACCATGTCCGAGACACAACAATTGCTCTCCTCGCGTGGACAGACTCCGGATGCCCGCCTACAGTCACCTGATCTTGGGAAGGCTTGGTGCAAAGTCAGGTACAGTAGATAGCGAAGGATGGCATGATGGCATGATCGTCGCGCCTGCCACGTTCGCTCCGCGCTGATTGGAATTGCTGCCTGAGCTTTGAAAGCCACAGCAATGCGGCACAGAGCTGAAAGTTGGTCCAAGGTAATGCAGCATGTATTATATATTCCTAGGAGCTGGAGTCGCATTTACACCTCGTTCCCGTACACATGTGCCTTTGCATATTATTCACCATGTCAGAAGAGAAGCAGGAAATCAAAGGCGGTTGCCATTGTGGGTAAGCAAGATGCGCGACAAGCTGTTCGAGAGGCCATGCGAAATGATGCGGTGTCTGCAGCAAAATCAAGTACACCTTCCGCATCCCGGTCCCGTCGGCAGGAAAAGGCCAATTGACGGCAACGCGCTGCAATTGCACCTTCTGCACCAAGTTCAGCACAACCAACCTCATGCTCCCCGACCCAGACAAGGCAGATTTCACGCTTCTCACCGAATCCACAGCGCCTCGATCCAGTCTGGGAAACTACCAACCACGCGTAAAATCGCTGTCGAGGTTCTTTTGTCAAGATTGCGGAGCTCATGTTTGGATGGAGGGGTATTTTGAGCATGAGGGGATGAAGTTTGATGTTTTCGCCGTGAACTTGGCGAGTGTGGATCAGCCGCAGGATGGAATTGATTTGAAGGATGTTAAGATCAAGTATTTCGGGGAGCTGGAGGCGAAAGGGAAAGGGATGGAGACGAGGGATGAGCCTTGGGAGCATGGGTTGTTGTAGAAGTGTGTTGTGCTGGTTCTGCTATGAATAGTGGGAGAGTTCGGGCTGGGGCTATGATAGGCACGCGAGCGAGCGAGGGGAGGGCGTGGGATGATGACTACCTACTGTATGAATAGCGGCAGATACATGTCCGCATAACAACAACGTCTGGGGGCTGAACAGTGACGGGAAATTGTCCGAGCCACGCATTGTGCGAGGAAAGGAGAATTGCGTGCATACCAAAGTTGGCTCGTGCGATGATTGGCAATGGCAGACCAATGCAGGCATGCATGCATGCATACAAGTGCATGAAAGAAAGCCATGCACTCGAGCGTCGAGGACGTGGACGTGGACGTGGACGTCCTTCCCTTCCCTTCCCGGCCAATGCGCCTCCTCCATCCGCACCATACAGTACCCATCATCGCCCGTGAACATACATTACATGTATTGAACATACATCATGGTCCATGCATGCCATGACATTGGATGAGCAGTAGTAGTCCGGCGCACACGTGAGTATCCTCGCCCATTACATCACGGGGCGTCGTTCTCGTTCTAGCCTGCACTGCACTGGAGTCTGGACTGCACGCCAGCCCGCTTGACGACTCACGCCAGCGACACCACCCCCTACTGTGGCACTGGTACTGGGACCACCAGTCCGCCGTGCTGGACAGGACACTTGCGCCCTCTGCCCTGCCCTGCCCTGCTCTGCGCACCCGCACCCGCACCCGCACCCGCACAACTCTGTGCCGAAACGTCACGCATTGCAGTCACAGTCTGCACGCTCGAGTTGCGCACGAGAACCCGATTTACGAGTAACGATCACATATAGTCGCGCAACTGGAACTTGCACGCATCTATGTTGCCGTCATTACCCTAACAGCCTCACGCAATGGACCCTCCTCGTGAAGGCTTCGACGCGCTCGACAAAGCCTTCCTGAGCTTCAACGAGCCGGACAGGCCATCAAGTGCGACCTTGAAGCGCAAGACGACTCATCCTTCACGAAATGTGCCACCTACGCACGCACACATTCCCTCCGACACTCCTACTACATCCCGAGCACCATACGAGAGCAGCAGAACCACCACGCCTCCACCAGCACCGCATCTGAGTCGCCAGAACTCCGGTCTTCCTCCGACTCCGCCTACCATGGCCAACAGCGACGTCGCCGATAGCAACCCAGATAGAAGGGTGAGCCCTGCGCCTCTGTTTGCTGATCGCGTCAGGAACGCGCTCGAGCAGCAGAAGTCCGGACTCAGCACTCCTAAGCTTGAAAGTCAGAGCCCGCCGACGCCCGATCCGAGCCCACCTAGTAATGGCCATGGCCATCTGGATGCGCCGCGACCAGAACTTCCACATGAGGCGAGTTCATATGCAGAATCATTCAAGACGGCGCATGATGAACAAAGCCTTCACCACAGCACTCCTGACCTCCTGCCGCGAGACATGACTCCGAGACAGCTTAAGACGCTGGACCAGCACAGCTGGTTCGATACGAACCGAGCCTTAGGCCTGTCAAACATGCGCTTAGCCGTGAAAGACGTCGAACCATCACAACATGTCGATTCTGATGTCGAAGAGCCACGACCGAAGAGCTACCACATCGATCCAGATAGCGACGTCGAGCATAGTTTGGAGAGAAATTATTTGGCAAGCAATGAGACCAGCTCGATAGAAGAATCGCCAGTATCACCAACTTTGAGGAAGTCGCTTAATCACACACCCGTGAAAAGACTGTGGAAACCATTGCAGCCTGGCGATGAGATCAAGCGTCCAGATCAGGCACTACTATATGGCACTTCTAGCCTCAAATGGAAACCACGCGCAAAGCGAGAGCCGCCGCCAGCCAGGGAGAGGGACACGGAATTCCTCAGGAATGCTGTTCTGGAATCCGAGAAACGGGACCAGGCGCAAGGCAAGACTTTGGAAGAACCTCAAAACAAGGAGGCCACACTGACAGCACTGCCTTCGCTGCCACTTGATGAAAGACGTGCAATGACGCCTCAGTCTCGCGCCCATGTCGCCAACAAGCTGGAAGAAATGTCGCAACCAGCGCAACCGGCACACGAAAGCCCTCCGAAAAGTCCACCGAGAAGTGAGAAGCCGTCGGAATTCACACCCGCGGACGCACCAGCTGAGATATCGTCGCCTCCGACGACTGCGCAAAAGAAGTCGCTTGAGGAAAACAACAAGGTGTACAAGCTGATTCGGGAAGAAAATGCTAAAAGGCACAGCGCAATCTCAGATGGAAGTGTGCAAGCCATGATCACCCCAATACCAGAACATAAACACAAGCTGAGGCACACACCCAAGAGAGACTCATTGCGCGCTGATGTGAGCATTGTCGACAGCAAACGAGAAAGCGAGGATAGCAGCGCCCAGAGGTTGCGACACAAGCGAGGAATGGACTCGCTTGGCAGCGTTGAGCTTGCAGAATCTATCGAGCGTTTTAAAGAGCATGCGCCAAAGATGCCATCGGCACGCATCTCGCGATTTGATTCGGGAGAAAATGGCTTTGACTATTGGAGTGGACTTCCTGAAATCGGCTCAAAAGTCAGGTCTGTGGCCTCTGCGAAAGTGCTTGGTAACCCGCACAAGCTGCGACGCTCGATGCGTGAGCACAGCCTCGACAAGGCTCCGCAGTCAGTCAGTGACTCGGTGGCAGGGCCTTCGAGCATGGAGTCAAACGCAATATCAGAGGAAGCAAGCCCATCACTACACCTGCGGAGGTCATCTGCCGACCACCGACTTGAGAATAACATGGACGTGCGCCGCACGAGTCTGAGCCGCGACGCCCAAGGCATGTCGTATCCTATCGAAGTCAAGATGGAGAAGATCGGCGAGGACTTGACGCGTGAGGGCCGTCGCGAGCTGCATGAGGTCCGCGAAGAGCGGATACCACATCGTGAACGTCGCACGTCCTCGGTCAAGACTACAGGGACATCTCCTCAGCGAAGGAGTTTTGACATACGACATCTACACCCTACAGCCACGCCTCTCTCAACCAGTCAGTGGTCAGGGACTGAAGCTGAGGTGTGCGAAGCCAAAGGCGTTGAGCTGTACCCTCACAACAACGAAAGCCTTCTCCTTGTGCAATCTGGATCACGTCTTATTAGCAGGCCAGCTCAGATTGATGAGGAATTGCGAGAGGCATCGGATGAATCAGAACTGGATGCAGCGCCAGGAGCACAAGAAGTCGTCTTTCACGCGTTCGTTGACGCGCCTTCCGAAACTACTAACGACATCGGCAATGCCAATTACACGGTCGACAGTCCTCTGATTAATCCGCGCGCAGCTCCAGAACCTCCTGTCATCAAGTTCATCCCGCCGACTCCAAACTACGAGCTTGAGCGGGAACTCGGCGACTCTGCCAACCAGACCGCACCGCTCGATGATCTGAACAAGAAAATGTCCAATCGTCCTAGCTTGAGCCAGCGTGTGCGCCGCTACAGCGAAAGCTTGGCCCAGCCTTTCCCATTCGGACGTAATGTTTCTGTGCGTCGACCAAATTCCAAGCGACGGCAGCAGCGGCCTGTCACTGATGTGCGACCCACACATCTCTCCTCCTTCTGGCAACCGCGCGATTTCTGGGAGGAATACGATAGCGAAGATGGCGATGGCGAAGACTATGGGCCACTTCCACCCGGAGGCGACACCTCAAACATCGAAGCCAAACGCACTTCCCGGTTTCTGCCGCGTAATATGTCCGTTCGCATGCCTGGCTTCCGCGGCACCGGCGGCTTCCTCCAAGGCAACTCTCTCGGTATCGATCGACATGGCACGAATGTGCGACGCCATTATATCGACCAGTCTGGGCCTCATATCGTCAAAAGCAGAAGCGGCTCGAATCTCAACCTGAATACTCGCTCCAGTGAGGAGATGCTCCGACGTCTCTCGGAACGTAAACGTCGTCGAACTTTTACCTTGCCTTTCTCTGGTGGAGCTAAGGTCGAGTATGTTGGGCTTGAGGTACTTGGTGCCCGTATGCGTGAGAGGAGGCAACGAAGACACGACCGTGCGCTGGAGAAGAGACGGGAAAAGTTGAGAGGTCAGATTGGCACACGGGTGTACCATGCTGGTGGAAGATGTGGCGTTGGGCTTGTGAATACACGGTAGAGGGCTTATGCGACCACTGCGAGAGCGCAGGAAACACCGAGCTCCTCCGATCCAGCATTATGACCTTTTGGTGAGTGCCATTTGGAGCAGCGATGGCATTGGTGTTCATGCTTGGATTGTCCGCAATGTGCTGCGTTTCCTGGGTGTTAAGACGCGATGAAGAGTTGGAGACGCAATTCATACCGCGTGCACCTGTGGATGCGGGTGGCGGCGGAAGAATTGCATACATGAACGCCCAAGATCATGTTTACAGCGAGCGTTTCGATTCGATTTTACGATGATACCGATTACGACTGAAATGTCTTGTTTTACGATATGAATGGCATATGACGAACCGAGGAATGGTATACAGCGAGCAATTTCATGATGATGACGATGACGATGATGATGATGATTTTCGCGATCTCGATATTTTGTTTTCCACGATTTATTTCCTGCGGTCTCATGGAGTGAAGATTAGTGGCTAAGTCGATGTCGATGTTGGAGGAGATCTCACACGGTTCTGCATGTTGATGCGCGGCTGCTCTAGCATGGTAACATCAGCCAGAGCCTTGGGTCAAGAATCATGTCGTCATGCGGATGAGTAACATGATTCGGGACCCCTCAAAGCTTCCAGCCAATGCTTGGCCCACGCCTGGGACGTTTGAACGGAACCAGCTTTATAGAATCAAGGTCACTGATGAACCATTCCGAGTGTCCCCCACAGCATGGCGTTACTCAAGGACACGCCCCCGGTGCATGCTCTTCACGCTCTGCCACCGGCTGTGAAAGCCTGGCTGCTGCGATTTAAGCTTCGTCCCGAAAAGATAGTCAGGCTGTAGCCTTGTCATATCTGAGCGCTGTCACATGACTCTGCGCAAAAACTAGCACCACAGCTCAAGGTCTTTGGCGCTGCATGGACGATTCAAAGGTTCGAGTGCACTAGCTGCGTGGACGAAAGGATGCCCGATTTGAAAGATGAGTGATGTAAGAGCTCAACAGTTTCAGAATGCTTTGAAGTCCGTATTGAGTAGCAATATAGTTGTCCTGGTATGTGGATAGTTCTAACCTCCGAGGGTGGACTCGCCGCCATTCAAGCAGTAGTGACCGACATGCTGCTTTTGATCTGGTTTACCATCAGTGAGTGCTCAGATCCCGTGACTGGAAGACACCGATACGCTACATCCGAAGAAAAGTTGTCATATTGCGAAGGTAGGGAAGTCAAAAGCACGGTGCTTCCTGCTTCCTGGAATCTGGTTCTCAATAATCGTCAGCAAGATGAGGCTAAATCGAGTCTTGCCGTCCAATCTTCCCGCTGGGGCCATCAACGCACACAAATTTTGGCCGAGGCCGCACAAAAGATCAACCAGGTGGCAATCTTATGCCGATGTTGGCCGCAAGTTCGGATGCGACTGACCATACCGAGGAATGTATGAGAGCAAGTCATTTTGGCTCGACAGGGTGAAGATGACAAATGCGCAGCTTCGTAACAGTTTTGATATTCTCCCGGTCACTAGCGCATGCCATAAAGTATGATTTTCTGCCGTGATGGAGACTCTCGTCATCGCAAGTTATGACCACGGCTAGCGAATATTGTGGACAACTGGACAGACTTCGAGTTTGCTACCTGTACCAGAATCGACGGTGATCAGTAATCGACAGTTGGCAGGTTCTTGCTCGAAGAAAGTGACACGACTACCTGTTTTTTTTTTTTGATCGATTGTCATCGCACTGTGCGGTTGACTGATCCCAGACCCGTAGAGTCGCTTGGATCGTAGTCGCGGTTGAGACAAGTATCGCGAGTGATTTGAGCAAACGAGCCTCACGTAGGTACGAGGACAAGCTTGACGATCAAGTGACATGACTTCCAGGACGACTCTCAGTGGGACTCGAAACGTGCTCGATAACATGCAATGGCGAATGGCCAAGAGGTGGTGTATACAACTTCATTCTCACCATGAGTGGAAGCTATATACTTTTTGTCTGACCTGCGATTCTCCAAGTACGAACAAGTACTAGACTTATGAAATGGTCGCCGTGATTGCCGCGGGTATCTGGAAATGGTTCTCATAGCTCGTAGCTTCGTAGCGCCAGAACACCATCGCTAAGCAGACCAGCTCTGCGTCAAAACCCACATCAACGCCATTGTGAGTCAAATAATCTGGAAGCGATGGGTGCTGTCGCTGTGTTTTTGGGTTTTGTTCGAAATGTCCAATGTCGTCCGCTATCCACTGAAACGAAAGAACTTTCCCCCCTGAATTGCATTCGATGTCCGTCCAAAGATGGTGCTGAGTAAAGCTAATTCGGGTTCATGATGTGAGCGAGACTCATACGCCGGCTCGTTGGCGTCGACTCAAGCGCAGAGGAATCGCCTCTGGGCTCTACTTCTGTGATCGGTGAAGCCCGAGGGGATTGTTGAGACGGGCCAGGCCGTACACTCTCGTTGATTGAAAGCGTAGCAGTCCAGTGACCGATAGCGGCAGGTTCGGCAGGGCCAGTGTGAGGCGATGTTGGCTCAGAGAAGTCCTCTGGCTGTTGCTGCAGAGAATCTCCTCGCGCAGCCTCGTTGGTTGCCAACGCAGTACGCCTCTCCCCTTCCGAGCTGCGGTTGCCCTGACTCAAGGCGATCAAGGCATGAGCAGCTTGTTTCGTGTCAGTATAACCCTGGTTAGGCTTGTTGATCGGGCAGAAAGCAGACTGACCTGAAGTCAAGGCCGGCTCGACGGGCTGAGGCTCGACGGGCTGCGGCTGGACGTCCTGTGACTGGACGTCCTGCGACCGGACGGGCTGCGACTGAGCGGGCTGCGACTGAACGGGCTGCGGCTGGACGGGCTGCGGCTGGGATGGCCCAGGCTGTGTCATGGGAGGAGCCGATGCCCTGCTCTGAAGCGTCCTACGTTGCCGCGGTGCAGGCACCAAAGGCCGTGAACCAGCAGGGCCACCACCACCGCCACCTGGAGGCCTTCTCCGTCCAAACCTGGAGGCGAGCACTGAGGTGTCATAGCGCTCGAAGCCCTTGACTCTGCGCTCGCGTAGGTTGTGAACTCGCAGTCTGCAGGCCAGGACAGATCGCTGCAGACGTCGCGCGATTTCGACGTATGGCATGTTCTCGGAAGTACATCGCAGCCTGTACAGCAAGGCGGTCTGCAGAAATCAGCGAGTGCTCGTGCAATGGAATCATGAAAATTCTCACCTCTTCGGCGGTCCATTTCGTGCCGTCTCTGGGGGACAACATCCTGTACTCCTCGAGGGTTGGACCGAGTTGGGGATCTGCAAGCTGCTCATGACCGAGGCTTCGTAGCTGTTCCAACGGTCTTGGCGGGTCATTGCGAGGGAACCATTTCTTGCCCTGGACACGATACTCGTTCGCCGTTGGCCCTGGTGGCAGTTGCTCTGGCGGGGTGCTGGGCTCGCGGGAAGCTTCCGACGAAGACATGATGATACTGCTCTGGAATTATCTTGGAGTATGTCCTGTTTGTCTGTATCGTTTGCTTCACATCGTACAGATGTCAGAGTCGAGATGTTTTGGAGGTGGAAGGAACAAAACGAGAAGGGAAAATGCAGGAGAATTTATAGTGGCTCTCGCTCGTCGTTGCCCGGATATCTTACCACCTGTCCATCTTCAAGCGTCGTTGCCAGGCTTTCTTACTACCTCTCCAGCTTCAAGCGGCATTGCGATTGTGGAGACGGGGTGTAGCGATGGGTGGGTGGGATTGAAGTTACCACCAAATGTATGCCCACTCCCCCAGTGCACCATACACAATGCAGTGTAAATGCCACCATGCATTCGAGGAAGGGGAGTGCGTGGAATCATGATAATCAGAATGGTCGGCGAGACATGGTTTGCTGTTGGACAGGCGCATTTCGCATTTCGCAGTTCGCATTTCGCATATCGCATATCGAAAGCGCACAGCATGAGGACGACACGAGACCCATTATTTTGGACGGCGCGAGGGAGTCCGCGTGTGGAGGGAAGCTTGGAAGAAGAATGGGTGAGTGAAGTCGCGGACTCGCGCCCACCCCGACCATGCGCATTCGGCCCGGAATCGAACGGGACCAACCGCATGTTGGCGATAAAGACAACCAAATATCATTCATAACGACTGCACAACTGTACAGCAAAACAACATGATGTAGCCATTGTGTAGCGCCTTGGCAACAGTCACATGACCTTTTCACCTCAACGCACGCAACTTGTCACTTCGGATCACCTCCGTTGACTGACATCGCAGACCCGAGAGCTGGTCAGCAAGATCACGTGCCGTCGACCCCCGGACCTGACCCCGATCGACACTATCGGCCGATCGACACGCGCCAGAAATAGCCGCAAGGCTTCTTGTGCTGCCGTGCTGCCCGGGATCTAAGGCTACGAGGCTGCCCTGCATGCCACACAGCCTCAGTCGTTTCACCCTTTGCCTATGCACATCTCCCCACCAATTTGCACCGTCATGCTCAATCTCCAAGTTGTATGCGGCCGACGCTTAGACTTCAAGGCAACATGTCATCGCTGCCCGACATGCGAAGACGGCATTGTTGGATTGGGTAGCAAGGGTTTCTCGTGGTCCATTAAACATCATTTCTACTGCTAAGAGCTGCTTGTATACGCAGCTGAGCTCATCTCCACCCGTCTTCAAATACAGGCAATCCTCGAACGTCGCGTCGCTAGTATACATCGAAATAGCCCAATACGGTGCGATAGTCGTAAGGCGTAAAACTTCTCCCTCCTCGCACTATCATTAATATGTGGTATCATTACGTGACCAGCACGTTCAAGGTGATGCTTGACTGCATCGTCTAAAACTTCCCATCCGTCGCTTCAATGCTTCCCAAAGACAAAACGCCGTGTAAGTGCAATATATCAAACAACCTCGGTAAAGGCATGCGAGTGCATCACGATCCCTCTGGAAGTGCTTCCCTCGCTGTAATCGTCGTCGACTCCGAGAGGAGACTTGCTGCCGTGTAAGATTCTCTTCGCTGTAGTAGTGCTCGATCATCGTCGTCCATTTCGATTTCAAGAGCTTTCTCTTTGCATGCTGATGCTGAAAAGCCGTTGCCCACTTTGCCGGAGATGATACGCCATCGATCATTATCGTACTCTTGCATCGCAACCTTGAGACGTTGGGCCTGCATGATCACGTCAGTCCGCTATTTCCTTGAATGTAAATGGCGACCCATACAATCATGAGGAGAGATAAAATCTGCCCTTATGAATCGGCAGGGCTGGAAGTAGCGATGGAACGTACCATTTCATCTGTCCAAACAGTCGTCTTCGCTTTGAGTTTGGTGCAGTATCGCACTTGTAAAGTGCCCGAGCTCCTGCCTGGGAAGAAGTCCGCAATTTGTTTCCACGTGAGATTCTTCGTTTCTTTGAGCTCCACCAACAACGCATCGTCTTCTGGCGTGAATTTGAGCTTAGGACCCTTGGGTCTTGATGCCGGCTGCGGCATTCCTGGCTGCCCAACCACACTTGGTGGTCCGTGATCGTCCTCCTCTGCCGAATCTTGGCTGTACGATGTTCGCTGTAGTTTGTTGGGCGGTTGCTGATTGGGTAATCGGTGGTGATGATGCTGTGTCTGGTTCTGTTGTTGCTGTGGTGAATGATACGGCTGTTGTACCGGCGTGCTGGAATGGGAGTGCGCAGAAGTAGATCTCTGCTGTTGATACTGATAAGAAATTGCTCCAGGTTGTAATTGAGCACTGTGGCCGTGTGAGAGGCCGTTGGGTGTTCCTTCGACTTGGACTGGTGTGCCATTGACGGCGTGGGCTTGAAGCTGCTGGAGACCTGGATACTCGTACGAGGAGTAGTCTTCCTGGAAACTTCGTTTTCTAGACTGAGCAGTGTGCTGATATCCAATAAGTGCAGGAGGACTTTGATATGGCGTTCCATACTGTGATGAATGCGAGGCTGACACTTGTGACATTTGTCTCGGCTTCGCGGATGCGAGCAATTGCGGTTGTTCCATAGCGTAGGCAGGCTCCGGCGCAGACATCTGCGAAGGCAACACGCTCGCGACTCCATATTGTGAGTAGTCCTGCGGAGATTGATGTTGCTGTGGTTGCTGCGGCTGCTGATGCTGCGGTTGGAGGAAGGAGGAGTCGAAAGCATGGTGCAACAGCTGTTGGTACTCCGCACTGGTCACCTGTGTGACCTCGTTGTTGTTCTGTGCCTGTTCCTGTCCATGGCTGCCGAAGTCGAAGGAAAATTCATTGAATGGTCGCGCCACAGCTGCTACTGAGCATAGAGGCTGCCAGAGCTCTCCGCTCAGGCAGCGTGCCTTTGGTGGCGCGTGGAGGGTATAGCCGGGAACGACTGACAACGACAAAAGTGTCGTTGAAGTGATTGTGGTTTGCACGGAGCTGCCGCTCGGTGGTAATGGTGATACAAGAAATAAATGCGCAATATTATAACAAAGTGATGAGGCGGTGTTAAAGCGAGGGAAGTATGATCATAAGACGTTCAACGTACAAAGATACACAATCATAACAGAGGTGAGGATCTGGCGGTATTGATGAGCAGGGCTGGCATGGCATAGTACTTAAAGACGATGCTGAAGACGCAAGATGATGAGGATGGTCTCATTCGAAAACGACCGTCCTCGCTTGATCGCCACACCGGCATACGAACGCATGGTAGATGGGTGTCAAAGCGGCGGCGGTGGGCGTATCTGCTGCCAGATTGGCTCGACCCGGGAGAGGAGCACGACGGGCTGCAGGAATCTGTAACATGGAAGCTGCAGAAGATCCGCCTTAGGAAGCTAGGCTTGACGTCGCACTGTCACAGTATTCGTCCTTGCGCGCCTGCAGGTACGGGCTAGAGGCTCCACTCAGGTTGACGGTTCTCTAGACCCTGCAATGGGCCATGCATGGACAGCCTAGGTAAGAATGGCAGAAGGGAGCGGCATTGACGCTGTCTTTGGCTTGTCAAGTGCGCAACGGTTGTCTACGTCTCGCTTGTTCGAAGATAATTTTGGCCTGAAGAGATTGCCCTGGGTTTCACCTGGGACACCATGGTGAGGCATTCCCGGGCTCTGATACTGAGGTCATCTCACCATGATCAGATCGCGTAAGACGACGTCAACAAGCTTTCAGGGCATGCTTAAGCAAGCGAGGGAGGCAGTACGCTTCCGAAGCGCTCTGGGGCCATTCGGTCGTCGCTTCTGCATCTCCGGCTCAGACGGTGTCCGCTCGTCGAGGTCCAATGTGCAGAGGGAAGCAGTTGCATCATCGCAAAGGCACAGCGGGTCCAGGCTCGAGGTGGCAAAGTCTGCGTTGCCGAATAATGGCCCTAATTTCCTTGTTGCGGAAATGATGGGCAAGTCAGACGTCGATGATAGCCTTTTCGGGCGTGCTATAGACAGGGTTGGGGCTGCGGGAAGACGGGCGCGGGCGGCAATCTTCCCATTTTTCGAATCGTCGAAGAAGGTCGTCGGCACGCAGGAATTGCTCTGCCGGAGAGACCGACTTCCGAAACATCACTCAGTAGCCCAAAATTCTGAAACCCACGTCGCGCTTCTGGAACATCGAGCACGTGGCACGCAAGTCATTGCGTCCTGAAACACTGCGGAAGATGGTGAAACGGGCAGGCGCAAAGAGGCAGTGATGCTCAGGAGCCGGGCTGAAGCGCAAAGCACGTGTGAGCACAGTCCAACGGTTGGCTGGCTGCACAGAACCTCCAAACAGACCCACTCTCTATCCCACAACCATGGTCCATGGGCTCAAACTGAACGTCACTCCATCTTCACGCCTTGTATGCGCACCGCGTCCCCCATCACTCATCACCGACACGTCTTCGACAAAGAGGAATGGGCCGCCGTCTCCCGCTGCTCCCAGCATGTTCCAAAAGCTTCGACGCCGCGTTACCCGCCTACATGCACGCCTACTTCTCGCACGCCTGCCCTGCTCTTTGCTGCGCGCCCGCAGTCCCTTATATCAATATGCCATACATGGACCGTTCAGCAATACAGAATACCTCGCCAGCCCTTGACGCCTCGCATACACGCTGTGCATGGTCCAGAAGAAAGGTGGTCAGCGCCTTCCAAGATCGGCGCATCGCCGTCGGGGTATCTCATCCAAAAAACAAAGTGCATGCTGCAATACCATCACATGTTATTGCGCCAATCCTGGGAGCAGTTTTCCACTCATACTTTCCAGCCCTGTTCTTTCGCAAATTGTTCACACGCCTTCGCAAACATCATTAGCCAGCTGCAAAAGGCATATAAAGATGAGCACATACCTTCGCCGGCTTCCCGACCTTTTGCCCAATGACTTTCCACTTATTATTCTCGTAGTCTTTAATCGCTTGCAGCAGTGCGGCGCTCTAGCAACCAGTCAGCACAATCGTCACACCAGAAACACTCGCTGTGAGGCGAACAAAATTGCTGACCTCGTCTTCCGCGAACTCTGCATAATGCATGTCCTGTCAACATGTCAGCCCCGGCACAACACATACAGCGCGAACTGAGGAGGGCGGTGGTGATGATCGCACTTTGTACCAATGCTTCTTGACGCTTCCCTCAGTCCGCGTCGGGAACGTCTTCGCGATCTCACTCCAACTACTCCCCGCATCGCGGAGCGTCTTGAGTCTCTGTTCCTCGGCCGGTGTCCAAGGCGTATTGGTACGACCCTTCTTCACCGGCGGGCTCGGCAGAGTCTGCTGCGTGTGTATACCTAGCCCTGTCGTGTCCAGGTCGCCAGGCGCCGACATCAGCCCGCCTGGGTTCGTGAAGGCGCTCGCATTACTGCTCGAAGATCCAGGTAAGGGCTCTAGTTCTGACGCGCGACGCTTTCGCGGATTCGTGGGAGATAGGTTGTGCTGGAGGTGTGGAGGCGCATGAGGCTGGTGTGTTTGAAGTTGCTGAGGCCGGTAGCTGGGCTGAGGAAAGCCGAAGCCAGCTGTGGGATCATGAGGACTCTGTATGTAGGCGTATGGATTGGTCTGATAGGGATTCGGTAAGCCTCCGGCCGAGTGAAGGTCACCACCCAGAGTGAGCTGTGAAGGCGACGCGGAATATGCACTCTGGTTCGTCACGTTGGGATGCGGATTGCGCTTTTGATCTGACGGAGTATTTCTGGACAGCAAGTCGTCAGTGTACATAGTTTCAACGCAACCGCGAGGCCATGTATCTGTGTAACAACCGGACAACGTTTGAGGAGTCTGGTATTGACACTACATGTAGACATGTGGACCCGACAAGAGGTGGGTCACCGGAGGAGTGACATACGACATCGCGGCAGAGGTGCGGCTTCTTCCTGGGCAGGGCTATTCTGCAGTCGCTGGATGTTGGTCTGCTGACTCGAGAGGAATTGTATGCATGGCTCTCTCAAGAAGGTTGCGATTGTGACATTGGCCAGCGGCGTGCCGAATAATGATGCGATTGCGGCTACCGTCAAGATGCAAGCGATAAGTATCTACAGTCGCGTACAGCTCGAGGAGGAGCTTTCTGAAAGCATAGGCGTGTTTCTGCCAGGCGAGATTGGGGGGCCGTGAGAGGTGGACGTCGAATGACGGGATAGAAGGGCAAGCTTTACGAATGCGGAGAGGCAGTTGATAGCTCCGAACAGCACAGGGAGCTGACTGGAGGCGTGCGCGCGGACAAAGAGTCGCATGCCGTCAATGTAGTGCTTCATGGGGGGGGATGCAGATTGCGCGAACAGGCGGGAGATGGCCGTCGAGCCACTGAGCCCAAGGGCCATGGCATGGCATGCCATGCTGTCGTATGCGGCGCGAGGTAGCTGGGCTTGACGTCGACCAAACCACCAAGAAAGCAGGCTTGCGGTGCTCAGAAGGGAAGCAGAGGGGATGGTGAGGGCGAAGGTTGTGCTGTACCCCGCTTTGGTTGTGTTTCTCGCGAGGCCACTGGCTGTCGCAGCGTTGCAGGGCCCAGGCCCAGGCGAACAGCAGCACCCAGGCGAGCGCGCGCACTCCCGTCCGTCGTCGATGATTCGCTGCGCTGCCGGCCACCCGCGCACGGTCGAGTAATGGGCATCTGTCGCCCGGCTTGGACACGTCGTGGGCCGTGCGATCGATTTGTATGGTGACGGCGAATGCGGCCGGCCTACCATTCGTCACTCGTGAACGCAACGGCACGTCCAGCGGGGTATGCGTAGGGGATGCATGTGGGCTTATGCAGACGCTGGAGCACCTCTGAGCGCGTGACGGCGGCGTGCTAGATCTTTGCTGCATCAGTCCTAGCCGAGCGCTGGCAGTATGGAGGAGGTCGCTGACGTAACGGTGCTCGATCTTCGACACGCTTGCTGCTGCTGCTGCTGCTGCTGCTGCTTGTGACAGAAGGCAGATGCGCTTGTTCGCGCACCCCAGGAGATGCATCGTGAGTCGTGCACAGCATTGCCCGCGAGCCAAGCGGACGAGGCTAGGCTAGGCCAGGCAATGGAATGGAATGGCTCTATGTCAACGACTGGGCCATGTCCCGTTGGGGGCACGAGAAATACCGCGTTTCGATCGATCGAGTCAACCCGGCCATCACCAGAGCCCTGGCCGCTCTGGGGATCCGGCTATCTGAGGCACAGCTCGGCGCCTCGAGGATTCCCCGAGCCCCAGCTACCCGCCCGAGCCCCAGCATATCCCTATACTAGCACCACTGCAGAATCGCCTCTGTATTAAATTACGTGCTCTTTCCGCCTAATATAGGCTGTTTCTATTCCTAGTTAGTATTGTTAATAGGCGCGTAGGCGCGCTACCTAGGAAGTCGCGCCTCTAAGTCTATATTCGTATAATTCGCATTTCTTCCTACTTTTGTAGTAGATTACCTAGTAACTATCGAAAATAGCTAAATCTCTATTATACGAGGCTTATATCGATAACTTTCTTACTAACAATAGTGTCGCCGCCGCCGCTAGTAGCGCTATAGAGATAGTAGTAGCGGAGGTAGTAGAATCGGAGGCAGAGGTAGTAGATTTAGTAATAGAAGAGACAGAATAGGTAGTAGAAGTACCGAGAGGTCGTACGCGTAGTCGATTAGTCGACGCGCTATATATAAGGCTTAGACCCTATAGTAGTTTAGGTTAGTTTAGTTTAGTTTACTAAGCCGAAGATCTAGTTTAGTTTAGGTTAGTTTGCTAAGCAACTATAAGAGTAGCTAGTTCGAACTATAGAATTTATCGGTTTCTAAGAAGTATAAGAATGTCTACGTAACTCGAAGCAAGCCCTTTATAAGATACGAGAGTATAGCCGGTAGCGTAGCCGGCGTTTTTTAGTTATAGGAAGGTACTTATATAACCCTAAATCTATAGGCAATTAGCTAAAGGCACTAACTAATTAAAAGTATATATACAGACAAGCTATTATAGTTTAGTTTAGAAACTGCACTTATTAGAAGTGTAAGAATGTCTACGTAACTCGAAGCAAGCCCTTTATAAGATACGAGAGTATAGCCGGCAGCGTAGCCGGCATTTTTCAGTTATAGGAAGGTACTTATATAACCCTAAATCTATAGACAATTAGCTAAGGGTACTAACTAATTAAAAGCATATATATATACAAGCTATTATAGTTCAGTTTAGAAACTGTACTTATTAGGTATGAATTTTATCCTTTCGCTCGCTATTTAATTCCCTAACTGCTTAGTAGAATATTATTATCTAGATCTAGGTAGAACTTATCGATTTCTCTAGAAGTCCTCCTCCTTAAGAAGTTCTAACACTTTCCTACCGAACTATTCGATAATATTAAGTACTAGGATAGCTCCTCCCTCGGTATCGGCATAGTATATAAAAGAGCTATAAGGTAGCTCTATAGAACGTTCTACTAGTTACTCGCTATACTAAGGCCGAATGCTAGTTCGTTCCTTAGAACTCTTAGTTATTTAGGAGATATAAAGGGTAGGGCAGGTAGTAACTTCGTATTATATAAGGAGGTAGAGGCTACTATAGAAGAGGCCTTTAACCTATAGAAGATAGTAAAAGATATAGAGGTAGCTATAGGTCTAGGTACCTAGTTGAATTTCTAGTAGGTAGAGTATAAGGATATTTAGAGGGAGTATTAGGTAGAGTTGCGAAGGTAGGTATATAATATGCTCTAGAAAATAGGGATAGTGCCTATAACTATAACTATTAGGCTCTTTAACCTTCCTTATTTTTCCCTGTTTTCTTTTTATAAAAATCCAAACTAATATAAATCAACCGGAATATCTATCTTCTTTTAGTTCTTTAAAAAACCTAGTAGCGTAGCTAGTAGCGTAGCCGGTAGCGTAGCCGGCAGCGTAGCCGGCCTTTTTACTCCTTAGTACTAACGGGATTTTAGGAGACTTCTATTCCGTACGGCTAATAAAGCATACTATACTATATATATATACTTAGAGAGTATTTAGAGCGCGGTATATAGCGCCGTATAATAGCGGCTTATTTCGCATATAGAAAAGCTTATAGATAATACTACGAATATCCTTCCTACTAGAATATCTATCCTACCTAGCACCGTCTCGAATATAGACATTCTAGCCTTTTAGAATCTAATCGAGTACTTTAAAATCCTTGTCTATAATCGTTATACGCTTCGCGTAGATAGCTATAAGGTTAACCGCTAAAATAGTATTAGTATAGTCCGAAAAGAGGTAGAAGAGAAACATATATTCGAAGATACGAACTAGGTAGGCTTCTATAGCCTCTTAAAGGGCGCCTATCGCGGAGGCTTAGAAGCGAAGGTCCGTTCTATAATCCTAGGCAATTTCGCGAACAAGTCGTTAGAAAGGAGCTTTACGGATTAGGAGCTTAGAACTCTTCTAATACTGCCGAATCTTACGGAGGGCTACGGCTAAAGAAGGATTAGTAAAAAGATAGTAAGAATGCCGGCTACGCTGCCGGCTATAAATAGGACTTACTTCCTAGGCGCTATCGACGCTTCGTACGATTACTACTAGTAGTAGAAGCGCTAGTTGTCGTCTTACGTAGAGCCTTACCCGCCGTTATCTTACGCGGAGCCTTGCTCGCGACGCCCTTTCTAGTACCGGAGCTAGCGGTAGTAGTAGTAGCCCTCTTACGTTAATATACTATGCTCGTTCTACTATTTCCGGTCTTATTACGACCCGTAGAAGTACTAGGTCCCTTCTTACGAGGCGTCGTAACTTAGTTAAGTAGACTCGCTATTATAAAAGTCGTCGAATTGAGGAAAAAAGTGCGTTACGAAGGTATACGAAGGCGCGCGCAAAGCGAGGGTATTACGGAGATAGTAGATATAGAGCGTAGAGGTATAGGTATCGATACGAAGGTTGAATATAGCGGTAGTATCGCGGTATCGCTAGGCAATAGAGTAAGCTTCGCGCAAGCCTATATTATAGTAACGTTAGAGTAAGGAAAGAAGGCAGGTACGGCTAAAAAAGGCAGGTACGGCTAAAAAAGGCAGGTACGGCTAAAAAAGGCAGGTACGGCAGACTTTGAAATATAGCCGGTATATATAGCCGGCATAGTAATAGGCGAAAGCCTCCTTTTAATAAATAGCCGGCGTAATAATAGTATCCTACTATAGTATAGATATTCTTTAGTAATGCCTTTACTAGCTATAGTAATCTTATAAGTAACCTAGGCCTATTACTAGTAAATATAAGAAATATTAGGTAGGCTATACTAAACAAGCTAGTTATTTAGCAGGAAAAGGCCTACTACCGTCTCTATATACCGGCTACGAGTGCCGGCTATCGCTCTAAATTCAACTCCGCCCTATCTCGGAGGCTAAGGTACCGAGCGGAAACCCTATAGCTTATATTCACTCGGTTGTCGCGGAGCGCTTATAGGTAAGATATTAGAAAAGAGTATAAAAAGTACGAGAAGAGTATCCTAGGATATAGGTCGTAAGTGAATAAGAGTAGCACG